GCTCCATGGTCAGAAGTAGACCCCACATTTGAGGTTTCATGATCTGTGGTCTTGGCACTGAAATTCTTATTAATCTTATCTTTGAGTTTGTGTTTTATAAGTGAAGTTAGAGAGACAATGGGGCATATGCTTGGTTCATATGTGTCCTGCAGACCTTCTGCCTCCTGAGGACTGATTCTTTGGTTTCCTGGGATGAGTCTTGACTACCACTACCCATCCACCAGCCCCATCTAATTTCTACTTCCTCACTCTCTCCCTAAGACTACTGGTGGGAGGAAAGACGTCGATATTCCACTGTCACTCTCCATCCCTGGGGGGACCTTGGTGCAAGCAAGAAGAAGTGTGAGGTTGTGTGTTGGTCCCATGATGTGTTGGTTCAGGGTAAATCAAGAGGTCTTCTCTGACGAGGCTGGTTGCACCTTAGCATGGTGCACAGGTGATTACGTATGGGTCTCTCACCCAGTATTATTGACTGAATCGTGTCTGCCAAAAAATGTGTGTATTGAATCCCTAATCCCCAGTGTGACTGTATTTGGAGGTATTGCTTTAAGGATATACTTAACGTTAAATCAGGTCATAACAGTGGGATCCTAATCCAATAGTAATGATGTCCTCATAAGAAGATAAACACAGAGCTGTCTCCTCCTCTGTGTATGCAGAGAAAGGTCATGTGAAGACAGGGAAAAGGTCCCCTCTGCAAGACGTAAGAGGCCTCACCAGATATCTTGATCTTGGACTTCCAAACTCATGAACTTTGAGAAAATAAATGTCTGCTGTTTAGGCCACCCAGTCTGCAGTGTCTTATTATGGCAGCCTGAACTAATATACCCACCTATTCAAACAAGTCTTAGCATGGAGGTTTCAATCCCTAGGGAATTACCTATTCGCTGAAGATTGAGACTGTGGGATACCTATACCCTGTAGATTGAGAAAGTGAATATTGATTTCCCCACCCCCAGCAAAGGCCTCCACATTTACCCGATGCTGCAAATTGCATAGCTAGTCCTGCCTAGAGCACTACAACATTTACAGGTAAGATTGATGAGGAAGAGCTAGCAGGACACCAAGTAGTAACAGGAAGAGAGAAACGCAAAAAGCAAAGGGGATGTGATTATAGAAATCAATAGAGGGATGTGTTTTGTGAAAGCGGAAGTGGTCAACTGCACACAATGCTACATTAACACCAGGACTTGCATGGATAATTGGATTTTATAACATGGAGTCCTTGAAGATTCGTAACAGAGTCATTGGTCAAGAGATGACAGGGGAAGATGACTGGAGTGCCTATATATAGCAATGAGTAGCCAGGAAATCAGGAAATGGAAGTTTCATTTAAGACACTTGTTAAGATTTGAGTTTTTAATCATACAGTCTATATTCAGATATTAACTCCCCTAGTTTTGTAAACTATGTATGTTTGATGAAGTCACTTAACCTGTTTTCTAAGCCTGTTTTCTCATTGATGAGACAAATACCAAAAGAACTCCTCTCATAGAATAATTGATTTATTGTTACTGAATTTCAAACCAAAGTTTTAAAATGTCTACTATGTGTCCAGCACCATACCATAACACAAGAAAACATAGTGAACAGGATAAATACAGTTTTTATTTTGATAGATTATATGGTCTAACAGGCGTGCTTATAAACATTAAATGTGTATACCACATTGCCTCATTCATTAATTTAAAAATTCATTTAAAAATAGCACTTTAAAGTATTGAGTACTTTACCTAACTTACCTTCTAGTGGAGTAGGTCTAGGAAGTGTTTGTGGGTGACGTTAAAACAATATATATAATACCTTACATATGTAATATAAAATAATAACTATTTTGTTATTTTAAAAAGTTAAAGGAGTTAAAAAATGTTATAGATATTGTTTTACTGTCTTACCCCACACACATTTCCTAGACCTACTCCACTAGAAGGTAAGTTACAGAAAGTATTCAATACTTAAAATGCTAATACTTTGTAAAAAGAATTTTTACATCAATGAATAAGGCAATATGATATATACATTTAATCTTCATAACCATTCTTATTAGACTGTAAGCTCTATCAAAAAAACTTGTTCACTATGTATTCTTGTGTTCTGCTATGATGCCTGACACATATTAGACATTTTAAAACTTTGGTTTGAAATGCAGCAACAATATATCAATTATTCTATGAGAGAAGTTATTTTGATTATATAGTATGTTAGAAGGTGCTAAGTGCATGGATAAAGCAGAAATTAGCAGTGTACACTAAATGATTAATAACTTGTTCTCAATAAGGAGTCGGGAAGTGGGGAGAGATGATTCTGACTCATACCACAACCAATTGTTGTGGTGTGAATACTCTGACAATAGATCTTTGTCTAATGATGGGATATTGCTGAACATTCCAATATTGAGAAGGATTGCACATATTGAACTTTTGCTAGTTAGTGCTAGCCACCTATACAACACTGCTAAAGTGGATGAGTAAGGCTGAATATGATGTTAAATAGCTGTTTAGTGTGGATCTCATTAAGATAGTGAAGATCTGAATTACCCATAGAGGTATCAGGGAAAGCAGTCTGCCCAGAAGAAATAACCAGTACAAGAACATGTTGTGCAAGACTAACGTGAGTTCTGGAAATTGCAAAGAGGCCAGTGAAGATACACGAGAGAGGGAAAAGGAAAGATCCTGATCTTTAAGGAAATAAGATCCTAATCTTTAAGGAAATAATGCCTGCATCAGTCAGGATCTCAGCAGGAAATAGATACCCAAGCCCGTTATATTAACACAATTTATTTAGAAAAATTTAATCAGGGTTTAGGGAAACCAACAAAAGACACCCTGTTGTCATCCACAACGTAGAAACAGGACCAGAACTCTCTATTTTAAACTAGAACCTACTTTTACAAAATGTTGAATGTTGTACTCTGCTAGACTAGTTATAAAAGCACAAAATACACTAATGATGAAGATGGAAAACTTGGGTTGCAGTTACAACAGTATCATTAATTTGCCGTATAACCTGGGAAATGCCACTTACCTTCTCTGAGTCTCATTTTCCTTATTTGTGAAGTGGAAAGTATTGCTGTGTGATTTAAATGAAGCAATCCATGTGCCATATTTTCTTTAAAAGTTGTGTTTATAAAAAGGTGACGAATTCTTATTTTTAAGATTGTATTACTGCAATGAAAATCATCTTTTCTGGCTAAAGAATCAGAGAAATTTTTATTTAAAAAAAAATCAACCACGAGTATTGTACTGCACACCAAAAAAAAAAAAAAAAAAAACCATTAATGATAGGACATTTTATGAACAAAAAGCACAAAGTGAAATTATGTCTAGTCCTTGGCATTCTGAATATAATATAGATTAATGTTTGAAAGCTACGGTTTATTGAGTGTTTTCTGTTGATGGTGCCATGCGCTATGGGCTTTATATACAGATAAATGACTATTGTTAGCAATCCCAGTCTCAGCACAGTGCTTAACATATAATAGGTGTTTAATACTTTGTTTCCAATAACTATGTGAAGTAGTTATTATTATCTTCATTTGATAGATGAGGCCTACACAGTTTAAGTCATTTTCTTAAGTGGTAGATGCAACACTAGAATCCTGTTCTAGGCTGTAACTTTTATGGCTTATTTTGCAACCTTCAAAAATCTAATTTGTTCGACAATTCATTTTAAAATACAGTCATATGACAGACAATGGCATTTCAGTCAAGGACGGACCACACATTTGACAGTGGTCCTACACTGTAATGGAGCTGAAAAATTCCTGCCACCCAGTGACATCATAGCAGTCATAATGTTATATACAAAGCATTACTTATGTCTTCATGATGATGCTGGTTTAAGCAAACCTACTGAAATGCCAGCTGTATAAAAGTCTAATACATAAAATTACGTATATGACATAATACTTGATAATGATAACAACTGTTAATGGTTTATGAATTGACTATTTTTTATCACTATTTTCAAATGCGCTTCTTCCACTTATAAAAAAAGTAAGTAAACTGTAGAACAGCCTCAGATAGGTTCTTCAGGAGGTGTTCCAGAAAAAGGCACTGTTATCATAGAGATAACAGCTCCACGTGTGCTACCGCCCCTGAAGATTTTCCACTGGGACAAGATGTGGAGATGGAAGACAATGATATTGACAGTCTTGATTCTGTGTAGGCCTATGCCAATATGTACGCTTGTGTCTTCGTTTTTAACGAAACATAAAATTTCAATGATGTTTATTATAAGTAAAAAATTAAATAGCATAAAGCTTATAGACTAAAGATATAGTAAGTATTTCCTACAGGTGTACAAGGTATTTGTGTTTTAAGCTAAATGCTACTGCTAAAGGAGTCAAAAAGTTTTTAAAAATTTAAAAATTTAAAAAGTTACAGGAAGCTAAGGTTAATTTACCATTAAAAATATTTTTACAAGTTTAATGTAGCATATATATATATATATATATATATATATATAGCATTTATAAAGTCTATAGTAGGTAATATCTTAGGCCTTTTCATTTACTCACTACATCCTAAGTGACTTACCCAAAGCAACTTCTAGTCCTGCAATCTCCATTTATCGTAAGTGTTCTGTATATACAAGTATGCCATTAAAAAAATTTATACTGTATTTTTACTGTACTTTTTATATGTATAGACAGGTTTAGATGAACAAATACTTGCAATTATCTTACAATTGCCTATAGTATTCATGTGCTGGACAGGTTTGTAGCCTAGGGGCAATAGTTTTACCATACAGCCAAGATGTGCAGTAGGCTATACCATCTAGGTTTGTGCAAGTACACTGACTATGGTGTTCACACAATGAAAAAATCAGCTAATGATGCATTTCTCAGAACATATCCCTGTCATTAAGGACACATGATTACATTCATCTCCTAATAATGAGAAGTCTAACAATAGTAATCTGGAATTCCAACATTTCTATCTTCTCCTACTGACTCAGGGGTGGTGACGATTTCTTTAACATGAGGGTGTTTTATACAGATTATCTGTAGCCGATTGGAGGAGTACAACAGCCATCAGACTTTATGCAATGGAACGTCCGAGGGACCTTTACAGCGCAATCCTGGAAACCATGACAAATCCAGGACCCCAAGGCTCCCCTCTTCAGCTGATGTAGAATTTTGCCTGAGTTTGACCCAATATGAATCTGGTTCCATGGATAAATCTGCCAATTTCAGCTTTAGAAATACACTGGAAGGTAATCTCTTTCTTTTCACTCACTTTTAATTTTTTTTTCAAAATTCATATTTACAGTCTCTTATCCAAAGTCCTATGAGGTGTTGGAGAGCTTAGAATTTTCTGAGTTGACAAAGAATATGTGTTGTATATACCTATTATTAACAATGACCCTAGTTGACACTGGTCAGCATGTTATAATCCAGCATGTCAGCTTCAGGAGCCAGGCATGGTGGCTCATGCATGTAATCCCAGTTTACTAGAGAGGCTGTGACAGGTTGATTACTTGAACTCAGGAGTTTCAGGCTGCAGTGAGCTATAACTGCGTTACTGCATTCAAGCCTGAATAACAGAGCGAGAGATTCTGTCAAAGACTAAGATGAAGAAGAAGAGGAGGAAGAGGAGGAGGAGGAAGAGGAGAAGGAGGAAGAGGAGAAGGAGGAAGGGGGCAGCTTCGGAATCAAGGGGTGGTGGAGAGGGAGGGGAGGAACAAGAACCTTTAATGAAATATATGAATACATTCATCATGAGAATAAATACAGGCAATCGGCAACCTAATGCTTAGTAATCAGGTTTTTCCATTAAAAGATAAAAACAAAATAATTTCATTTTCAGAACATTTTGTATTGTAAAATTTTGGATATAAGACTGTGGGCTGATAGTATTTTCCTAAATTTTAGTATTTTAGTTTTCTCCTGTTTAAAATATTCTCAGCAGTGGCTCTTTGAGGTAAGTTCATTCATTTACTGTGGCAAGGACACAGCTCACAGGCCAAGCCTCCATTTTAGTATCTCTCAAGTTTTCTGTCCTTCATCAGAAATTACATCTCATGATCTTTTCTAACTCCTAAATATTTCTCCTACAAATGCCTTCATCTTGCTTGCATTCTGCATTCAACATCCATTCATTCTTTCTGTTAATAGCTGACCCAGAAACCCATTCCATTCACAAAAATTTGCATTAGGTAAACAAAGTCACAAACACAACAAACAAAGACAGTCATTCAAGTCACAAATTTAACAGAAGTTTGGGAAACACATAGGCACTAACTGTGGCAAGGCAGACAACTCAAAATTTGACACTAGACATCCCACCTCCTTAAAGGCCTGTGACACCTTACCATGCAGAAAAACTTTCCTCTCTTTCGTAATCCTTTCTCCTTAACTTTTTCTTTTTTCATTGTTTAACACCCTAACTTTTGTGACTGTACTGTATAGAGCGGTTTTACTTTCATTCATTTTCCTATTTTATTCAAAATCATAATCTCAGGTTCTTACACCAAGAATCCATTTAAGCAAGGAAAGTCTCATCCTAAAGATGAATTCTGTTTGCCAGCATGACAAGAGAAATTATGTTTATTCTTCTATAGTAACATTCATGATTAACTTTTTTAAATAATCATATTTCAAGACACTGTGTCAAACATTTTATATGGCATTATCTCACTCAATTCTTATAATCATCCCCTGAGGAAGACTGCATTTATTATTCCCACTTTTAAGAGAATAAACAGATATTCATCTTTTGGTTATTGCTTCTCAATAAATAAGCGGCAGAGATAATCTGCACCCAGCTTTGTCCAGTACCAAAGTCCAAGTTCTTTCCATTGCACTCTGGTAATCGACAATAGGTTGAAAGTTTCTTTAAAGTGGATAATATCAGTTTGGTCTTTTGAGATATGAAGGCAGGACATGGTGCCAGGAAATCTCAGAGCCTCTCTAGTGAGTGTAAGGTACACAATTTGAAAGTTGTCATCTGGGAGGATTGGCTGTCCCATTGGACTCTTCAGAGATTAGCAACATTACCCCAAATGCTGATATTAATGACATTGCAAAGCAAAGCTACATCTTTAAGGGAATTGGAATATTTTGCTGTTTTTTTCAGGCAAAGTTTTCAGCCATGAGTGACAAAATATGTGTTTTATTATTAAGAAACAAGGACTGGTCACAGAAATAAGGCACAGGAATGTTGCTTATCTAGGGCCTTAAGTCAAAGAAAAAAAGTAGCTCAATATGTGTCAGCTCAGTCAGTGGTTTTCAAGTGAGAGTCTAATACACAAAGGTAGGAGGGAGCAGCAGATTGGCTGCAGATAAGTGGCTACTGCAAATAACTTATGCGTGTGAATTTTTTTCCCATAATTTCTTCTCATTCTTACATAATTTAATAGACAAAATGTGTGAGAAGCAAAGAGATGTAACATAGCATATTGTCTGGCACATAGTAGGTATTCAATAAACATCTAATAACTGAATAATAGCTAGAAACTTTCCAATTGTACCTAACCCACAACTTACTTTATCCATGCCTGTTGTATAAAGTCCATGTCATTAGAGAAAATGTTGGAAATCATTATTCTGAGCTACTAAGAAGAACTTTTCTTTATCAGGTGTACATTTTTTAATTACTTTTCCTTAGATTTTTATTTGGCAATAATTTTAAGCTTACAGAAATGCTGTGAAAATAAAAGCATAACAAAAAACCATGAATATATCTTTTACCCTAATTCACTTGCTATGTACATTTTATCCCGTTTCTCTCTCCTTCTCCCAGTCTGAGCCATTTTGAGGGTAAATTGCATAGACTGTAACTCTTTACTCCCATATATTTTAGTGTGTATTTCCTAAGAAGAAGAATAGACTCATAGCCACAGAATAGTTTTCAACATCAGTAAACTCTATATTGATATGATGCCTTTAACAAATCTACTGTATATATTTCAGTTTTTAAAAATAGATATAATATCCTTTTCAGCATTTTTCCTCTCCAAAATAGAATCCAGTCTAGGGTCAAATAGCAGTTAGTTTTCATGGCTCTTTAGACTTTTTTAGTCTAAAATGTTTCCATATCCTTGTACATATGTGTCTTTATGTGATTGACTGCTCTGGAGGATATAGTTCCTCCTCCTCCCTCCTCTACCTTTCTTTTAATACAATGTTCTTAATTTTGAGTGTGTCTAATATTTCCTCATGACTGGATCCAGGTAATGCACTTTAGCCAGAATTCTACGTAGGTGATTGTGCATCTTTCTGAGACCGTGTCACATCTGGAGGCACATGATAACCATCTGTCTTGTTGGTAATGTTAATTTTGGTCACCTCCTCCAGATGTGGTCCAATTTTCCCACTGTATAATTACTTTTTTCCCATTTGACTAATAAACTGTCTATATGGAGACATTTTTAAGGCTATGTAAATAGCCTGCCTCTTAACCCAATTTCTCCTGCAGTTAGCATCCACTGATGGTTACAAATTTCTGATTTTTCAACTTCAGCACTTCTTTTAAATTTATTAGCCAATATTCAGAATTCTATTAGCAAGAATCCACCATCCTTTCTATCTATTTATCTATCTACCTATCTATTAATGGTATGGAGTAAAGGCTTTCCATTGTTTAATGGTATGTAACTCATTGATGTACTTAATTATCTTTGCGTGTCAATGGTTCCAGAACTTGCTCATGGCATACCTTCAAGCTGGTTCTATGTTTCCATTTCATATACACCTTTTTAAAACATTCTCTCTGGTAAGCAAATTATTCTAGAGCATCTTTCAGCTCTAGGCCTGAAATTAGCCATGACTTCAAGGAATAATGTTTTCTTTCACTAGCTAGGAAATTCAAGGTCAAGATCTGGAAGAAACTTTTGCTCTCCAGAGAGACACATTTTATCTCACAACATGAATAGGGAAGGAATGTGGGGTGTCTTGGCCTACAAGGAGTGCTCAAGTATAGCAGTGAGGAGAGTAGGACTTGAGAAAAGAGCAAATGTCACCATTATGCTCTGCTCTTTCAATACATGCATATGAAATGGAATTGTTGCTCTTGATTAAACCTCAAAGTTATTGCTTTCTTTTTTTTCTTGGTCTTCTGAGAGGTGTGTAATGCACTTCCCATGGAACAAAATATTCACAGTCATTCCTAGGACAAAGTAACTGTTCTGATTTAGTCTACTGAAGTGAAGATGTGCAATTTGTGAACTATGTAAGAGAGGCCTCATGGCTGGGCGCAAAGGCTCACACCTGTAATCCCTGCACTTTTGAAGGTCAAGGCAGGTGGATCACTTGAAGTCGGGAGCTTGAGACCTGCCTGGCCAACATAGAGAAACCCCATCTCTGCTAAAAACACAAAAATTAGTCAGGCATGTGGCACATGTCTGTAATCCCAGCTACTCTGGATGCTGAGGCAGAAGGATTGGTTGAACATAGGAGGTGGAGGTTTCAGTAAGCTGAGATCACACCACTGCAGCACTCCAGCCTGAGCAAGGCCCTCCCCAAAAAAAAAAAAAAAAAAAAAAAAAAAAAGAGAGAGAGACTTCGTTTCTAGATAAAGCAAAATAAAATAAATAAATATGTCTGTATTATAAGCAGCAGTCTTCTGATTAGGTTAAATAGCTGCCCCCATGCAGTCAGTTATCACATTCAAACAGGAATTTTATCTCGTGAAAATCTGTGACTACCCATCCATTGTGTCTTGTATTTCACAGTTTACAAAATTTTTGTTTTTTCTGTTTGGTTTGTTTTCTAATAGCACTGTTGGGGTGTGGGACATGGGGCCTAGAAATTCAATGAATTGTTTAAAGGCAACCAAACTGACTAGTATTAGATCCTAGCTCAACCACTTCCTAGAAGTGTGACCTTGAGTACATTATTAAACTTTTCCTGTGCTTATCTATAAAATATGGATAATAATAATGTATAAGTTTCAAAAAATTAAATGATATAATACATGTAAGTTACTTACAACATTTTTTCAACAAAGGTCAGCCAGTACTGTGTTAAACTGTGGTTAGTTACTGACAACTTAGCAACCATTAACTTCTCTGGCAATTAGCTTACAAAGTAAGTAAACAGTGAGTTCTGAGAAAATATTATAATGACCTACATTTAGTGGAAAATAAGGGAAAGAGGAGGATGGAAAGGAAAATTCATGAAGACAAACCCAAAAATAAATGTTTCTGGAGACAGATAGGATTTCAGGGCAAGTTTCAAAAATGAGATAACAGCAGGAGCAAATATATCTTCTGGT